CAGCCCTCCAGGGAAGAGGAGGTGCAGGCGGTCGGACCTGGTTGCAGCAGGAACCCTACTGCCTCCCCGGAGGCCTGCCCTCTCCCCCAGGACCCCAGGGCTGCCAAGAAGAGGCCTGGCCCCGCCTGCCCCTCCCACTGCTGGCTGCCCCTCTAAAGGGAGCTGCCACAAACAGTCTGCGCCACTCAGAGGCCGGGGATCTGGGCGGGAGGCCCTGGGAAGGGCCGGGGAAGAGAGAGCCAGAGAGCAGGGTCTCTCCCCGAGGCAGAACTCAGCTGCACCACTAGGAGGCTGACAAGGAAGGCCTTGAGCTGCTGGTCCAGAGGGGCTGCCCGAGCTCCCAGCCCACCCCAGCCCACCTCCTGGGCTCCCCAGCCCCACCCTCCAGGCAGGAAGCTCTCCACACCCAAGTGGGCTCTCCCAGCCCAGGGTCCTCCTCTCCAGCACTCCCCTCCCCCGCTGCCCGGTGGCTGAGGGACAGCCCGAGGCTCTGCCCAGGTAGAGCGCCTTCCAGTCTCCAGGCCCCTCCCCGATGCCCCAGAGTCCCAGGACTGGGACAAAGGGGAAGAGGAGGTGCCTGCCCGATCCAGGACCCAGCCCCCACTCAGCCTCACGCCTGCCTGGGTCCTACCTGCAGAGTTCAGGCCGTGCAGGCAGCAGGCCTGCGCCCCGTGCGGGCCTGTCTGCTGAGTGGCCAGCAGGCCTGTGCCCCTTGCCGGCCTGTTTGCTGAGTGGAGCTGCAGCCAGTCCCCCAGGACGGCTCAGGGGCCGGCACGGGCTGTACCAAGTGCAGCTGCAGGCAGGGGAGACCCTGGGATGCCGGTGAGCAGGGGCTGGGGGAGCTCAGGGGAGCCCGGAAATCAAGGGAAGGAGCATCATCAAAGTTTGGGGCTAAGAGGAACCTTAGAACCAAACAGGGCCTTCACAGGGCCCAGCCCAAAGTGGGGCCCCCCAAGGGGAGGAGCAGGGTGGGCTGATACGGGCAGGAGAGGCTGGCAGGGAGGGGCCAAGCCTCCTTAAAATGCACTGCCCTGGGGTAGAGTGAGTGAGTGGGTGGGACCTGGCTGCCCCAAGGAGGGGGGTGGGGCAAAGAAAGGGGGCAAGCAGCCTCCATCTCCACACCCAGCCTCCTCTGCCCAGTGGCCGTTTTCCTAACCACTGTCCTCTGGGGACCAGCGATGGGGTCCCCCGGGGAGACAGGCCTGGCCTGGGGAAGGAGCTCAGTCCAGGCAGGAAAGTCGCTGAGCCTCCCCGATGCCCAGCAGACCTCCGACCCCCCATGCCAAGCCCAGGACGGGAGAGAGGTTTGGGAGGTTAGGGGGTTAGGATTTGGAGAACTTGAGTCTGACTGTTCCCGCTTATTCACAAGTCTCTACCTCCACAGGCTTGCAGTCCTGTCTATAAGGGGGTGATAGCGGGCCATGTCCTGTCGGCCACAGCTGCCATAAGGCTCGCAGAGATACGCTGCACCCTGATCTGCGATTAGCAACCCCTGGGACCCTCCAAACACGTCCCACACGCAGTCCCACCCACTGGGGAGGGTGGGGGTTCTTGGGCCCAGCGCAGGCCAAGGCAACTGAGCAGTGAATGACAGCAAGGGACACACTTGCCAGGGGTGGAGATGGGGGGGGGGAGGGAGTAGGGGGGAGGGAGAAGAGACACTATCTCTAACTTGGAAGGGGGCAGAGCAGGAAGAGGAGGGAAGACAGGCACCTGTCCCGCCCCCAGATGTAAGAGCCTAAGGTCCTTGCCTGCCCACGAACTCTGACCCTACACAGCTCCCCACCTCTACCCCCTCCAGGGAGGCCAACCACAGGCCCGGGGGTCGTCTGTGAGGGGTCCGCAGGAGTGAGTCACAGGCCCCAATCTCACCCTCCTCTCCTAACGGGGTGGCCCAGGCCTCCACAGAAATGCTGGGGGTAACCAGGACCGGTTCCTGCCAGGCCACCGCACAGGGCGGCCGGGGTCCACTGAAGGTGACAGACAGACAGTGACCTCCGCACTCCCTGAGGCCAGGCCCGGAAGACCCAGCGCGCGCTGGTCCCTTCTCCCAGCGTCTGAGCCACGGCACCGTATGTCACATACCCTCTCATGGGGCTGGGGGGTCAACCAAAAGCCAGCCACTCCACCAACTCCCAGAGCCTTGGCATCCCGCCCACCCTCTTCACCGGGAGGCCCTCACTCACTGCAAAGACTGCCTCCGTGGGCAGAAAGGTGCCAGAGGCTTTGACCTACACGTAGCAGATGCTCCCCGTGTGACCACCCCAAGGCATACAGACCTCGCCCCAGGGTCACCCTCCGACTGCAGAGACCTGAGCACAGAGAACACAGACCCTCAGGACAGACTGGGCCAGCATCCTCCGTGTCTAAGAAAACAGGAAGGTGGATGGCCAGGCTACAGGTATAGACAGCTGCTGGGGAGGTGTGTGTGTGTGGGTGGGGGGGAGGGGGGGAAGTTTGAACTCTCTCACAAAAAGGGGGGTGGTTCTTTTCTTATCACACAGGGCTGGGGGGGCCGGGAGAGATTCCCCCAGTAAAACCAAGCCCGGGGGCCGCGCACCCCCACTCACTCCCCACATGTTGTGGTAAACTCCTCTCGGAACTTGAGCATAATACAAAAGG